AGCAAGGTGCTTCAAAGCAGTGAGGATGCTGGAAAGGAAAACTCACATTTAGCATGGCTAAATATAAGTCTGGGTTGGTTTTTTTTTTTTTTCTTCCCTGGAAGTGTCCAAGGACAGGCTGGAGCCATCTGGGGTAGTGGAAGGTGTCCCTGCCCATGGAAGGAGATGAGCTTTAAGATCCTTTCCAACCCAAACCATCCCAGCATTCTGTGATTCCTCAGTTCCTTAGCTTTATTTATTTATTTACTTACTTACAGCGTTATTTATTTATTAACCGTTTTATTTATTTATTTACTTCCTTATTTATTTATTTAACGCCCATTTCCTGTTGCGCACCGGCTCAGAAAGCCTCTCCCAAAGCGCACCCCCCTCCAAGCGCGGCGCCGGGGAGGCGGCGGGGGGGATGCGGTCCATCCCTCCATCCCAGGAGGCTCCGGCAGCCCCCTGGATCCCCCGGGGATCCCCCGGGCAGGGGAACCGGCTGCTCAGGAGGCAGCGGGGATGCCCCGACGCCACCGGCAGTGGCCGCTGACCGGCTCCACGTCATGAGCGAGCGACTTCGGCTGCGGGAACCGGGAGCTCCGAGCGCCGGGGGCTGCGAGCCGCTGCCCGGGCATGGGGCTGCGGCGCGTCCTGCTGCTCGGGGAGGGCAACTTCTCCTTCGCCGCTTCCCTCTGCGGGGCCCGGGGCACGCACGTGGTGGCCACTTGCTACGAGAGCGAGGAGGACGCGTCCCGGCGCGGGGGAGCCGCGCGGAGCATCCGCAGGCTGCGGGAGAGCGGTGGGTGCGCGGGTGGGATGCGATGGGATGCGATGGATGGTGGGACTCCCGGGCACAGTGGTGCAGGAGGTCAGTATCGCTGAGCCCTCCTCTCATCAGGGCTCCTCCGTCCAGAGCCAATCGCGCTGCCCTGCCCCGTCTCCAGCCCCTTGGGAGCCGCTCGCCACTCCAGGAGTCTCATCTCAGACGAGGGACTGGAACGGTCCATTTGGCTAAATCGAACACCCTAAAATCTGATCAGACTTAAACAGTGCTGAGATTGCACTGAAACTATTATTTTCAAGTATTTTTATAAGTTTACACAGGAGATGAATTGGAGCCCAGGCTTCCTGGCGTCCCTAATGCACAAGTGGGGAGATGCCTGGCAGCTCTCATGTACTTCTAAACCAATTAGAGAACTTGCACTCCCCACCTTCCTCTAAAATTTTCCCCAATGATAATTCCCTTTGGTTTCTTTTTTCCTTTGCTGTTGCAGGAGCTGAGGTTGTGTTTTCTGTGGACTGCACCAAGCTGAAGGACTACTTTTCACCAGAAAAAAGAGAATTTGATTGCATTTACTTCAACTTCCCCCACTGTGGGAGGAAGGCTGGGGTAGTGAAGAACAGGGAGCTTCTTGCCCGCTTTTTCCGTAGGTGAGTAACCCAGAAACGGTCCTGTGCTGATTGCCTGCTGCGATACACAGGTTTGTGGCTGTGCTCTGGGTGCTTTTCTGGCCCTGTGAACTTTGGGGGTGTGCTGACAGGGTTCTTCTTGTTGGTGCCTTTCCTTCCAGCTCCGCAGAAGTGCTGGCAGAGGAGGGAGAGGTCCATGTGGCTCTGTGCAATGGCCAGGGTGGGACCCCCGCGGACCAGCCAAGGAGGGAGTGGCACAACAGCTGGCAAATAGTGGCTGTGGCAGCAGGAGCTGGATTTATCTTGAGTAATGTTCATCCTTTTAACGCAGAGACCATCCATGGATATAAATGTACAGGTTACAGGTAACCATCACACGGCTAGACCGAAAATCTGATAATTGTGCCCTTATAAAGCCCAGCATTAGTGTGTTCTTTTAGTATCTTGTTTGCTGGAGAGGAGAGGAACTCCTTTTAAATTTCCTTAAAATAGCTACAGTTCTTTCTCATCTCTGAGCAGAATAGCCAAGATTCAAATGCAAGCTTCTTGCCAAAGTACCCTCTAAAAATAAGACTATCCTAGGATTTTAAAGGTCAAAATCGTCAGGAGGACTGTGGGGTGTGTATCTGCTTAGCAGGCAATCCCAACAGGGTTGTAACAAGGCCTGGGGTTCACTGAGACGTGTGTCACAGGGAGTTACCTGTGCAAGACTTACTTGTGGCACATTAAACATCAGAGATTCTCAGTGGCTTTGCTCTGGTTTTGTGTGTTGTCAGGAGCCAAGATAAATCCTTCTGCGTAGAGGGTGCTCTGAACCACATCTTCACTCGGAGCACACCGCCCCTGTGTTTCACACCTCGGAGCTGCAAGATACAACAGGGAAGCCAAAAAGTTTCTTTTCAAGTGCCACAAGTCCTTGTGGATAAAATGAATAGGTGAGTTTTATCATTAGTTTCTGTTCGGCCATAACACACTCTTCTGCTCTCAGTGGGAGTGACCAGGTGTCAGATAAATGGATATGAAGATTGGCCAAAGTCCCATTCCTTTTCTATTAGCAAATCCAATTAATTCTTGATTGCAGCCTGGAGACAAACACCACTGTCCTGAAAACATGCAACACGTTTGGTGAAAGGATTGGCTTGTTCAGTTTTTAACCCTAAAAACTGGCTTAAGAATGTTTTGGGTGAATTGCTGCACTCAAATTATGACCACAGGGGACATTTCCAGGGAAATCTGTTTCGTGGTGTCTGTAATTTGCACTTTTCTTTTTCCCAGGGGTTTCCTAGAACCGAATTCAAACCACCCAGTCCGGACAGTGAAGGAGGAGCTCACGGCAGGGCTCAGCCAAGCCTTTCCTTTACAGGACACTGACTGCTGCCTTTCCCTGCTCCACCACGGCCCCCTCGAGGGGCTTTGTCCCTCCAATATCTTTTGGATCACTCTGAGCCCAGAGGAGACTCCAAGCACAGAGGAAACGTCTCACGGACTGGCACATGCAGTTTTATTTTCCTGTGTTGATTTTTGCCAGGGCACAGAGAAGGATGTACCAGAAAGATGTCACAGTGCAGGGCAGTTTTATCTTAGACCTTCCCTTCTGCCTCATGCTCAGGCAAGAATGCAAGAAGGAGCCTTTGCTCCAGGGACACTCCATGTTCTTTCTGGGCCAGTTTTCAGGAAGTGTCGTATCACTCCTCACTCCATGCCTGTTTTTCACGAGGTGCTTCTTGTGCTTGCAGTGAACAGGGGTACAGAGAGCAGCTGTGTCCAGGTGCTGGTGAATAACATTACATCCACCATACATTCTCTCCACCAGACTGGCCTTAAACCAAACATCAACCTGCAGGAAGCAACGGGCTCTGAAATGACTGAGCTCAATGACTTTGCTGCCTTTGAGTCTCAGCTGGGTAAAATTCAGTACTTCATCTTCATGGAGACGGATCCTCCAGGCTCCTGTGAGAAGGGCTCCTGCGTGGGGGTTATAAGGACATCTCATGAACTAGTAAGCAGTGAGCTGGTGCTTGTCTTTGCCTCACTGAACCTTGACCTGCTGGCCATGCTGCTCTGTGGAATATCTGACTGGAGGATGCTCTGGACACCAGACACACGGTTCCTGAGGCAGTTTCCTAGAGGGCAGCTGAGGCTCTTCAAGAGTTTTTCCCTCTATCCCCCTTCCTACATGCACGACGTCAGCTTTTGGGTTCCCGAGGGGGAGCAGTTCGATGAAGTTGCTTTCCACACCCTTGCCAGGGGGGTGTCAGGCGAAACGGTGGTTTCTATCCAGCTGAGGGACAGTTTCCAGCAGGCAGGAACGGGACGGAGGAGCCTCTGCTACAGATTGACCTTCCAGTCCTGTGACAGGGCGCTGAGCTGCCAGGGGGCCGCGGAGATGCAGCTGTGCCTGCGGGAGGAGATCCAGCGACAGCTGGGTGTGACTCTGAGGTAGAACATCCGACCTTGCGTTCAGGTGCTCGAGCAGCACCTGTGCCTGGCGCGGTGTGTTATTGCAGGGCCTCCCACAAAGGCGGGGTGGACTTTGAGCACCCGCACGCAATAGAAATGTGGACATTCCTGTTAAGGAGGACCAAGCACCTCCCTGTTCTCTCTGTGTGTGCAATGAAACCTCACTTTATAAAGTGGAGCCTTTCTTTTCTAGGGTCCTGTGAGAGTGGACTCGACCTCCTTCCTGATGCAAATTCATTTTTCCTGTTCTTGTTTATGCTTGCCCAGCACCTAATGCTGGTGGGGATTATCTCAAGCACGCTGAAACAGGGAGGATCTTACCATTTCCCAGGCACTGTGTGTGTTTTGAGCACTGAAAACAGATGCTCAGTGCCCGTGGGAGGATGGTGAGTTTGGGTTGCCTCACACAGCCCATCTCAGCAGAGGTGCTGGGGGTGGGATCCCAGCCATGGACCGCTTCCTGAGGAGCTAATAAAGATGGTAATCATGGAATCCCAGAATGGTTTGGGTTGGAAGGGACCTTAAAGCGCATCTCCTTCCACCCCCTGCCATGGGCAGGGACACCTTCCACCAGCCCAGGTTGCTCCAAGCCCCATCCAACCTGGCCTTGGACACTCCCAGGGATGGGGCAGCCACAGCTTCTCTGCTGTCTCTAATCACAAATTATCCCCATCACTATATTCCAGAGGATCCTAACCAGCCCTAAAACAGCTGTAAAACACCAGTAGCGCATCATTTGCTGCCGCAGCAGCAGCTGTGACCGCAGCTGACAGAGAACCCCAGCAGCGACCCGGGGTACCGGGACCTGTAGAATTACACTGCGAAAAGGCATCCACGGGACGGTGGACACGCGCAGCTGTTTTCTTTTAACAAATTAAAGACTGCGGGGCACATCCCGTGTCCCCCCCCGGGGCAGGGATCGAGTGTGTGAGGGACACCGACCGTGTGTGAGGGACACTGACCGTGTGTGAGGGACACTGACCGCGTGTGAGGGACACTGACCGTGTGTGTGAGGGCAGGGCCTGTGTGTGAGGGCAGGGCGCTCCCGCCTCCCCCGCGCGCTCCCTTTGCCCTCACCCGTCATGGCGGCGGCGGCTTCACCGTCGCTGCCGCCCCGCCCCGCCCGCCCGGCCATGCCCGTAGCCGGCATGGCGGCCAAGGGGGCCCGGCAGCGGCCGCGGGCGGGCGGCGGGGAGGCGGCGGGGCGGCGGCCGGAGGCGGAGGAGCCGCGGGCAGAGTGGGTGCCGCGGCGGGGGTCAGGGGAGCACCCCGGGCGCTGCCAGCCCCCCACCCGCCCGTGCGGCGGTGCTGGAGCATCTCCCCGGCCGGCAGCAGCCCCTCTGGTTTGGGGGGGTGGTGGGTGATGCTGCTTCCCTGGTACCCACCCCACTTAGGGGAGTCAGCGGCTCACATACACTCTTCTGCCCTTTTAGTGTCGCTCGGTCTCGTTGCTGAGCCTTTCTGGTGCGTATTCGTATTTTTTTTTTTTTTAATTTACCCCCCCCCTCCCCTTTGGATTAGATCGTCCGGGAGCAAAGCAGGACAAGTTTGGGCCCCCGAAGGATCAACAGCTTTCAAGTGTCTCATCTCGGCCAGGTTCTGTGCAGCCCTCCTGAGCAACATCTCTGACTGTGACGAGACCTTCAACTACTGGGAACCGGTGAGTGGCTCCGTGCCCTTGGGGTTTGGCAGCGGGTACTTGGCCTGTGCAGATGCAGGTTAATTTAGAACCCCGTGCCAGCCTCTCAAAGAGGAATTTTTGTGCTGAAGGATTCGGAGGTGGGAAGTGGGGAGCTGCTCTGTGTGATGCGTGCTGTTTCATTTATTTAATCTCCATTGCAGACACACTACCTCATCTATGGGAAGGGGTTTCAGACGTGGGAGTACTCCCCAGCCTATGCCATCCGCTCCTATGCTTACCTGTGGCTCCATGCCTTGCCAGCCTGGTTCCATGCCCGAGTCCTGCAAACCAACAAGGTAAATCACCTGTGTGAAACCTGCTTTTGAAATACAAAACTCTCCTTTGTTGACAAACAACTGACATGTGTAAGGATTTAGGAGGGTTTGTGAGTTCCCCTTCCCCGCGATGCTTTACAAGCCCAATTTGTGTCCTGTGCCTTCCTCACATTCCAACCGTGTCTCCTAGGTCCTTATCTTCTATTTCCTCCGATGCTTCCTGGCCTTCCTGAGCTGCATTTGTGAACTCTACTTCTACAAGTGAGTGTTAGAGTCTGTCTGCAATGAGTGTTTTGAGTGCCATGCACAGGAAATACCCTCCGAAGCTCTCGTGTAGATGGGGCTGCTTAAAAGTGAACCTTGAAAATATGTGTTCCCCTGATAACTTAATGAAATAGTGGTGAGAATTCCACAATTAGGACAAAATTGTACTCTCAGAGCTGCCACCCACATCTCCACTCCAGCTTTTTGCTGACTACACTGGTTTTCTCACCGACAGCAGCAAGCGGGGGGGGAGTGTTGTAGACTGAGCTCTGCTGGAGGAGACTCTGGTGCTGTTTGCTTACCATAGTGAATTTTACTGGAAGACATTAATTGTTGCTGTCTGTAATCCGTCTGCCAGTGCTGTTTACATCCAGTAAAAGCAGTAAATCCTTAACATACAATTATCTTGTCTAAACCGGGTTTTTATTTTTACCCGCTGCCTCTTCATTTGTGATTTTCAGGCTATTACCTTGCACTTTTTCTGTTGGGAGTAATCTGGATTTAAGGATCTTTTTGGGGTCTGTTTCCCTCTTGCTTCCTCAGGGCTGTGTGCAAGAAGTTTGGGCTGCATGTGAGCAGGCTGATGTTGGCCTTCCTGGTGCTCAGCACGGGGATGTTCTGTGCTTCTGCAGGTAGGTTTGCTCATAGCAGTGACACTGACAGCGACCTTGTCCCTGGAAACCAGAGACAGGACCAGAGAGAAGAGAAGCCACAGCTCTAACTCACCTCTAACACTGTGTTATGTATCTCTAGTGTATGTTTGTTATGGTTGTGTTCTGCTGGAGGTGTTTCTCCTGGCAGGTGTGATAGAATAAGTGTTGATTCAGATTATGTTTTTTGTGTCACTCTATTGCATGTTTCAATTTCCTCTTTGTTTCCTGCTTGTTTCTGTTGCTGCCTCCTGGCTGTGCCTCTTAAACAGGGTCTCTTCCTTGCACATATTTTAACCTAAGGAAGGAGGCTCAGATTTTGGCACTTCCACTTGCCTTTTGTGTCCTGCCCCCTCTGCCTGGCTGCACCCCTTTTCCCAGCCAGTGTGAGACTCGTGTAAGACACTTGCTGTGGGTATGAAGTGTGGGAAGGCTGTGCTGACCCCTCTCCTCCCTTGTGCTGCAGCTTTCCTGCCCAGCAGTTTCTGCATGTACACCACGGTGGTTGCCATGACTGGCTGGTACATGGACAAGACCTCTGTGGCAGTGCTGGGGGTGGCTGCTGGAGCCCTCCTGGGCTGGCCCTTCAGTGCAGCTCTGGGGTAAGAAGAGGGAAGCACTCTTGTCAGATGTTTTTTGAGTTGGATGGCTGGGATGTGCAGTAGGAGCAGAGGCCAGCAAAGTGATGGTTCTCTCTCAGCTTGCTTTGGAGAACCTTCAGCGGGGAAAGCCAAGGTCTCCAGGTGACAGCTGGTCTCTCTTTCAGGCTTCCTATTGCCTTTGACTTGTTGATACTGAAGCAGAGGTGGAAAAGTTTCCTGAACTGGTGTGTGGTGTCATTGATCCTGTTTCTGGTAAGTGCCTGTGGCAAAGCAAAGAGGGAAAGGATTGGGCTTGTGACAGGAGGGCTGAATTCCTTTCAGAAAATCACAGGGAGCTTGAGTGCAGAAGCTCCTGGCACTTTAACTGACTGCTGCTTTCTTCCAGGTGCCCTTGGTGGTGGTGGACAGCTATTACTACGGGAAGCTGGTGGTTGCACCTCTCAACATTGTTTTATACAATGTCTTCACCCCTCACGGGCCTGATCTCTACGGTGAGTTTGAGATAACAAGCCAAGAAGGGAGTTGGGAGTTTTTCTTGCTGCTGTGACCCCCTCCCAGCTCTTGTTTGCCAACCCTTTTTTTTTCTGATGTACCCTGGAGCAAAAGCCTCCTGCAAGCTCCAAAGGCTGCAGCTCCAGCTTCTGGACACAGGATGTCTCTGTCGAGCTGGGAATCCACAGGCCACTGCCTCGAGTTGGTGCCGCTTTTGTTCACATCCCAGTTCTGCAAACCACCGTGAGGTGTCTCAGTGTCACAGCTGAGCTGTCAGTGTTTGGCTGCTGAGCCAGGGCAGCGAGCACAGGGGATACCTGTGTGTGTTTGTCAGCTCTAATTGAGTACCTGGCTGTTGTTCCTCACAGCCAGGGTGCAGAAACCTTGGAAAAGCGGGTGGCAGTGCAGAATCCATTGGGTTTTTTCAGTTCACATTGTGTCTCTGCAGTCCCAAATCTGTGCTGTGCCTTGGGAATCCCTTTGCTTTTTGGCAGTGTAATGGCCTGGGCTTTGCTGGCAAGGGGGATCTGAGGGTGCCATGAGGCAGATCATCTGCCTGCAGGGAGTGTCCCCTGATAACTGTGTGACCCAAATGCCAGCTCTGAGCCTCGATGGCAGTGCTGTGTGTGTTTGGGAGCTGCCACTGCAGTAAGTTGTCCATGAGGAGTAGCAAAGTTTTACATTTCTTGCAGGGCTTCAGAGGGGCTGGGGGGTAGGCCTCAGGGTGCAGGGCCCCTGCCTCATCCCTGCCCTCTCTTTGATCCCAGCTGAGCTATTCCAGGAGGGATTCAGCAGTGCTCAGCAGCAGCAAGGCTCTCTCTGGCCGTGCCCTGCACCCACAGCCGTTGGTTCCTTTGCAGGGCTGTTTTGGGTGGTGCTGAGTGGTGATTTGTCACTTGTGCCGTGGCACAGCAGGGCAGCAGCTGCTCTGCCAGGGTTCCTCCTCTCTGCAGGAAGGCTCTGAAGGCTGTTGCTGTGAGTTTTCTGTGAGTAAACTCCAGGCCGTGTCTCTGATAGGTTTTGGCAGGGGCCTGTGCCTGACCTTTTCCACACTGGTGCATGAGTTGTTTGCAGAAGCCTCCAGGGACCAATCTGTTCTGAAGTGTTTTATTCATAGTGACATTCATATAACATCCTCAGGCTAGTAAAAGAGCCTGCTTGAAATTGCTCTTTAATGCAGTGTGGCCAGGACAAGGCTGTGTGTTTAGAGAGCCTCTAAACGCTGGGGGAAAATAACACCAGCAGGGGGGATGAGGGGCTGGCCAGTCCCTGCTGGCTTTGGAGCTGGGATTTCCCAACTTTCACATGATGGGAGCAGAGTGACCAGCCCACACCATCTTCAGTGTAAGCACCACAGTGTTTTGGAGACAAGGTTCAATTTCTTATTTTTCTTTTCTCTTTAGCAATACAGTCCTTCCACATAAATACTGTCTGTGCAATTAGTATTTCCCTGGGGTAATTAGGTTTTCTACAGCTCAGGGAAAGCAGCTTCTAAGCATATATCCCTGAGCCCGATTCTGTGAGGTTTTTGCCTACATAAGTTCTGAGAAATCACAATCTGTGACCAGAGTCTTGCCCCACTTTCTGTGCCCACAGCCTTGGCTGGCACTTTCAGTGTGGTGGCACTTTGTGGGGGGGGCTCTGTTCAGCTGGGGCTGTTGATGTGGCACCCTGCTCTGCTGGGTCCTGGTTCTTCAGCAGAGTGAAAATAAAAGAAGGGCAGCAAGCAGAGTGTTTGTTACACCAGCACTGAATCAGGCTTGCTAAGAATGAGGGCTGTGATTCATGAGCAAATTATTACAGCTTAGTTACTGCTGAAGAGCTGAGCTGCAGCCCCTGCCTGCACCCAGGCTGGGACCAGCACAGGGTGGGGCAGCTGAGCCTCAGCCTATTTTACAAGTGCTCTGCTTTGGCCTCCCCATGGCTGTGGTCAGGGGGCAGCGTGGTGGTTTGTCCAGTTCCATCACCTTGGGTGGGAGTTGCATCTCCGGGATTGCTCCTGGAGCCTGTCAGATCTCCAAGGGCAAAGCATCTCCTGGCTCAGTGCCTGACAGCGCTTCCAGCTGGTTATCCCCATGGAACCATTGTGCCAGGAACTGGCTGGGCCACGGTGTTCTTCCCACTGCCTTCATCAGTGCCTGTCCTGCAGCTCCAGCCTGTGGGACACTTGCAGGAACTTCCATCTCCTGTCCTGCTCTGGAGGCGATGCTGTGGAAGCACATTCCCATCAGTTCTGAGCATGGAGAGTTCCTCAGTGTCCCTCCCTGCTTGAAGGATGATGTTCTGGGTCAGGACTCCATGTGTGCACTGGGTTTTTCTTTTTTTCACGCTGCAGTTCTCTCTCAGTTCACCTTGAGTCGTGTGGGTACCAGGAATAAAAGCCTTTTGCCCTGGGAGGCTTTGAGCCTGAGTGGCTCTGAATGGGTGAGTCACCACGACCCAGCCTATTGCTTTTTGCCTGCTGTGCACTGTTCTCCTCTCTCTTTTTCTTTTTGCCTTATTTTTTTTCTCCTCTCCCAGAGAAGAAAATCGTTTATTGGAGAAGGAGGGGATGCTCCAGTGCTTAGTTTTTGAGGGCAATTCGCTCACACTGCAAAAAAAACCTGTTAGAAAGTAGCCTTTTCTCCTTAAAGCTGTGCTTCACACCACCTGATCTCTTTATTAGCAGCATCCCTTAGGGGTGTGTTTGGGTTATGGATTATTCATGAAGTGTCCTTCCCTCCTGATCCCCAGGCTGCCAAATCAGAGACCAGGCTAGAAAGAGCCAGTTTGCTTTCCATAGGGCAGGTGGAAGGGTGGACTGGATGGTCCCTGCTGCTGCCCTTTAAAGATTTGGGATTTACCTGATAACTGCTATTTACCTTCAGTGCTAATAACTGCAAGTTTTCTTGGCCTCAGCGACTCCAGTGACAGGTTGGTGACATTCCTGGTGCAGCTTCTCCCCGTGTTTAGCTGTGGGAGCTGCAGAGGGTTTGGGTTTTCCTCGCTGCTTTGCAGTTGTCTGATTAATTTCAACACGGACCCTTCTTAAAGTGGCTCTGATTGCAGGAAATTGCTGTGGCATGTGACACATGTCACAACAGTGCAGTGATTAAAGCCCCCGCGTGTCATTTACTGACTGATTGAGCTAATCACGCCCAGGGAGTGGGAAATGTGTGGAGAGGAACTGGCATTCCTCATTGTTAAGGGTTTTAAGCATCCAAATAAATGACAGTTGGATTGGAATGCCTTTGAATTTACATCCTTGGAAGCTCGCAGCCAGTACCCCAGTGTGCCATGGTAGGAGGCAGAGCTGGTTGAAGCATATCTTAGATAGTTCTGACTCTGAGGAGGTACCAAAACTAGCATTTGGATGAGCTTCAGTGGCGGAGTCTTTGTTGGGGTGAAGTGGGAATGCAAACTCTTTCTTCCAGATGTCATTCCAAACCTCTTGTTTCTTTTTTCTCACCCTGTAGGTACAGAACCCTGGTCCTTCTACTTCATCAATGGCTTTCTGAATTTCAACGTGGCTTTTATTCTGGCCCTGCTGGTGCTGCCACTGACCTGTCTCATGGAGTGTCTGCTGCAGAAGTTCCATGGTGAGTGCAGGGCAGCTGTGAGAGCCAGGCACAGACAGCCCAGAGCTCAGCCTGCTCACTGCAGGGAGAGCTTTAGCCTGACAAAGAGCAGTCCAGGACTGTTCCTTGCCTCCACCTCCAGAAGAACAATGTGTTATCAAGGCTGAATTTACCCATACCCAGAGCAAGTTTAACAAGGGGTGTGGTACCTAACCCTCAGTCTGACATTTCAATAGCCTTAAGAGGGAAAGGAGCTGTGTACCTCTTGTTTCCATCTGGTCTGCAGCTGGAAATGGGAACCTTTGGAGTTATTGGGGAGCATTTCTGGGGTTGAACTGGACTCTTCTGTACACTGTGAAAGACACTCTTGAGCTCACAGGACTGAGCCTTGGCGGGGCAGCCTGGCTGCCCATGCTTTGGGAAGTGTCCCCAAGGGTGTGGAGATACTGAGAGCAGGAAAAGGAGGAACCAGAATATTCCCTGCTTCACGTCGGGCTTTTTCTTAAATAATGAAATGACATCAGTTTAAACACATGACATTTGGTAAGGGACTCTGGAGAGGAAGTGTGAATTCTTCTCTGCTGTTCTCCTGAGGAAGATTCATCAAGTGTCAGCAGCAGCCTCCAGATTCATCAGTCCAGTCAGTGCTTTGCTCTCTCTCTGATTTTTTTACTGAATACAAGAAGCAGAAATATCATAATCCCCCATGAAAACGTGTGTCAACGGGTATTTGCTCGTCTCTGTTCCTTGGCTGTGAGTGACATACTGTCAGGAACCAGTGAAAGCTCAGTAGGAGATCCTGTAAACGCAAGATTTCCTGCTGTTCACTTGGTGTTCTTGTACTTAACAGCGGGAGCGATTCTGCCAAGTGCTTTGTTCTTATTGTCTGTGAAATACCATTGGCTTAATTGCTTAACTCTGCTGTTGGGAGTAGTTAGGAGGCAGAGAAGGGACTGTGAATTGCCAGGCAGTGTAGAACCCTCCTCAGTGCGACTGAAATTCAGGGTAATTGTTGTTATTTTTGAATCAGTTATTTCCTCTGTTAAGCAGAAGGCGCCTGAGAGACCTCTCATGCTGTTATTTTTGTAATGAGGCAATGAAGGTTGTGGAAACTTCAGTCCACAAACAACCCTTTGTAAGGGGAGAGGGGGATCCAGGGGAGATCCCTTCTGATCTTTGTGTGTACAAAACACAGCAGGAGATCTTTGGATACGTCAGTCCTTCGTGGGTTTTGTCTCTTGCTTGGATTCAGTAGTGCAGTCCCTTATTTTCTGTCCTTGTGTTTGTATCTATACAAATTCTCTGATCCCAATTCTGTGCTGATTGTTTGGACTGTTTGGATTTCAGCAGCGTGGGCGCTCAGGACAGGCTGCGTTTGTGTCTGAAGGCAGCAAGGTTTGGGTCTGGAGAATGGGCTTTGGGGGTGAGATGTGACTGTGCAAGGGAGGGAACAGGTGGAACCCCTCATTCTTGCCTTTTGCTGCTTTGCTGAGTTTCTCTTTCTTCCAGTTCAGAATCTGGGCCGTCCCTACTGGCTGACTCTGGCTCCCATGTACATCTGGATCATGATTTTCTTCAGCCAGCCCCACAAAGAGGAGAGGTTTCTCTTTCCCATCTATCCCCTCATCTGTCTCTCCGGTGCTGTGGCTCTCTCTGCTCTCCAGGTAAGTTTTGAGTGGAACATGTTTTTAGATGAAGCTCACACCTTTAGGGAACATAATTTCCAGCTGATTTCTTTTAACATTGCTCCCCAAAGTTTGGGAACACCTGCAGAAAATCTGTGCCTGTGACACAGTTCAGGACTGTCAGGGCCTCCCTTGTCTGGTGGTCAGGGGCAGGAATGTGGGTGTGTAGGATTCTGTTAAGTCCTTCCCTGGCTTGAGAAAGGAAAAGTGAGCTTGTTTAGATGCAGGGAAGCTGCGCTGGATATTTGGAGGAGCCAAAAGCTGGATGTTTAGTAAATATCACTTGAAGCACTTCACAGAGCAAAGCGCTAATAGAGGCTGATATAAACCTTCCCAGAGTCAAAATTATTCATCTTCCCCTGCTAAAAAGGCCCAGAAATGCAGCCATTAGTGCCTGCTGGAGCCTGTTCCTGCTGTTTGGCCTCATCCTGCTGTTCCTCCTGTGTCCTGCTGAGCACCAGTGGCAGCTCCTGTCCTGCTTCTTCCCTCCTGACTGTTGATCTCCCATCACTGCTGATGTGTCAGTGCCCACCTGGAGTCCTCCAGCTGAGTTTCAGTCCTTGCATCCATCCAGGATGAAGCTCTGATGTCAGCAGTTTTATGGCTCTGGCTGTCACAGCATCACCAGGCAATGGTTCAGGACCTTTGCCAGATATGGCTTGAGTAAAATCTCGTGTACATTTCTGCCCTGCATTTTTTAAGCCCTGCTGGATGACATGGAGTATCCAGCTGGGAATTGAGAACTGATTGCCCACCAGCAGTCCAGGCTTCTCACTCTCCCCCTCCAAACCACGTGGATCTGACTGTCAGGAGGAAAATGCAAAACAGGACAAGAGAAACAGAAACCAGCTGAGGATAGGAAGTGAATAACCACTGCTGCAGAAAGGCCCAAGCTAAGGGCTGGATGCATTTCCTCCCGAGTGTTCCCAGAAAGGCTTTTAAATAAAAAAAAAAAAAAATAAAACACCTGAAAGGCTTTTCTTTATCAGTTTCAGAGTGGCCTGTGTTTTCTTTTGTCCACTTCAAAGCGTGAGTTTGTACAGGCAGGGTAAAACAACTACAAGTCACCCAGGAAATCTGGATCATGGAACTTTGAGTTGGAGAGCAAGTCAGTGCAGCCTGGAAAATGAACTCTGCCTCATTTAGGGAACTTCTGCAGTGTCTGAAAGGTGCTCCTGCTTCACCTGGGAACAACCAAGCTGGAGCACTGGGAGAGAGCTTTGACCTGAAGCCTGCCTTGGGGAAAAGAGCTGAGAACTTCTTTAAGTACTCTGAATTACCACTTAAAAAATGTGACCAAAAAATGTGAATTTCTGTGCGTTTTGATGAATCTGAATTAAAAAAACCTCAAAGAGCAAAGATCTGGAGGGAGATGCAGCCACTGCTGCAAAGGTCCTCATGAAAGGCAGGGTCTTGCTAAAATCAGATTTTGAGTAATTTTTTATTGTCTCTTTCTTCTTTACTCTTTCCTCAGAAATGTTACCACTTCATATTCCAGCGGTACCGCCTGGAGCACTACACGGTGTCCTCCAACTGGCTGGCCCTGGGCACCGTCTTCCTCTTCGGCCTTCTGTCCCTGTCACGCTCTGTTGCCTTGTTCAGAGGTTGGTGTTTCACAGGAGGTTGGTGTTCTACACCTGCCCTGGGCTCTCCTGGGCTCTTGGCTTGGCCAGGGTGGTTGTGCCGCTTCGATCACGGGCAGCCTGTAAAAACCAGGGATCTCAAAAAGATGTGGATGTCACTGCTGCAGGGAGGGGGATAAAGCTTTAATTAATGTAATCACCATTGATGAGTGATTACACATGTGTGTGGGTGTGTGTGCACATTCATCCATATGTATGAATGAACCACTGGAATTGCATCGCTCCAAAAGCTGCTCCTCACCTCCAGCCAGTGCAACTCTACCGATACAAAAATGTACCCAGACTGGTATTGAGGCAGATACTTCAGCTTTCAAATACATAATCACTCTTGAAACAGCGTTTTCCCGTGTAAAACTTGGAATGAGGTGCATATGTCCTTAATGGAGGTGGATTGGGCGCGGTCCTTCAGAGCCTGGTGGAATCAGAGCCATGCAGTGAGCCTTCCCACCCCAGCAGTGTGGGTTTGGGTTCTGGGGGCTGTTGCCAGGACAGGGAAATGGGAATAAAGAATCTGTGCTAAAAGGAATCCAGCCACTTTTCAGCACAGACCAGTTCATTTGTTCAGGAGGTTACATGTGAGCAGCCTTTCTGAGGACTTTCCAAAGCAGCCATGTAAATGCCCCTCTTAATTCAGCCTTATTTCGGATTTTTCTGCCTTCCACAGGCTACCACGGGCCCCTGGACCTGTACCCCGAGTTCCACAGGATTGCCACTGACCCCAGCATTCACACAGTGCCAGAGGGCAGGCCAGTCAACGTGTGTGTGGGGAAGGAGTGGCACAGGTTCCCCAGCAGCTTCCTCCTGCCTGAGAAGTAAGTGCTTTCACGTGAAGGGCACAGTTTGGTGAGGGGCACTTCTCCTAAATGGTCCTGGCATCTCAGCTGGCACCACGAGGTGTCTTCAGTTCTGCCTTTGATTTTCCCCACCCCAAAAGTCACTGGCTGCTGCACTCTCCCTGTTCCCTGCAGTTGGCAGCTCCAGTTCATCCTGTCGGAATTCAGGGGCCAGTTACCAAAGCCCTTTGCCAAGGGCCCCCTGGCCACACGGATCATCCCCACGGACATGAACGACCAGAACAAGGAGGAGCCGTCCCGATATGTAAGGATTCTGTTCCTGTTTCCTTTCCCTCACCTCGCCGTAGAATTCCTTACCTGGCTGCCTGATTACTGTGTAATTTGTATTAATATAATGCCCGTGGCTGGGTCTCCCCCAGTTTGTTTCCTGAGAACAGAAATGGTCTCCCTGCAGCACTTGGAAGTTTCCCCATTGATGTGAGTGTTTTCAGTTTGCATTTCATCTGCCCATTTAAAGGCATAATAAAAGAAGCAGAAGAAGTAATAGTTCCCAGTTGTTGCAATTTTGGGTTGAGCATAGTGTGTGATCGCAGGAAGGTGAACTGAATGAGCTGTTTGAAGTCTCCCCCCGCAGAAAATATTTTGAAATTTTGCTCTCTGTACTTTCATTTCTTTTTTAAATATAGAAGGATTCATCACATTTGCAGCTGAGAAGGAGGAACTTAATTTGGAACTCCACTGAAACAATTGCATCAATGATTTCAGTGGGAACCTGTTGAGATAATGTGCGCTGGTATTACTGATTGATACTTTTAATGTCTGTGTTGTGTTGCCTAAACAAAAGCAGTGCACACATGTGAATATTTTAAAATTATTCTTTAAAATTAACGGGTTAAATCTTGGCAACCTTCTGGGTTAAATCTCCCTTCTTTTGAGGCTCATTATGCAGTTACTGGAATGGGAAGGAGGCGTGTTCCCACCTGAGAGGAGCTGTCTGCTGCAGTGCATTTAATTTATGAAAGCTCGAACTGTGGCATATTTTTAGCACAGACAGCTGGCTGGTGCTCAGCCTGTGACTAATGGAGCAAAACACACTTTTGTTTCGTGCTTGTTCCTTAATGCCACCCTACAACTTGGTTATTTCTCGTGCAGGCAGAAGGGCCCGGAGCATTAGAAACCAGCCACTAAATTTAAATTCAGGTTTAAAGCTTTGGCTTCTGACCTGCTGCTAACACCAAGAGATCAAGGTATTTCCTTGAGTTGAGTGAGCTTATGAGTGCAAGCACACCCAGATTTAAAAAAAAAAAACAACAGAAGGACTATGACAGTGAATAAATCTAAATAGCACAAGTCTGTTGGCCATTTAAAGGAGGAGAAAACAAATGGTTCAGGAGGATTATCTGAGGCATGGAGCTTCAAACCCATCAGTGGCTTCAGAAATGGGGCTGATCTGGCTGTTTCAGGTGCAGGTTATCTGTTGCTGCTCTGCTTGAAAATGGAAGAGTAAATCTCAGTGTTTCTGTTGCTATGAGACACTGGGGAGAAGAGTGATTTGATCTTGTTTTGCAGTTCTTTAATCACGTTGAGCGGCACTTGCCTTGCACTTGTCCTTCTGGGGAGGTGCATTTGTGTCTGAAAGTGCTAAGAAAGAGATAAGGAGCATCGTTTCCTGCAAAGATGTGTCCAAGCAGGAACAGCAGATCAGGCCTGAAAGCTGCAACTGTTGACAACTGCAGACTTCAGAGGAAGTTTGTTTTTTTTTTTAAGCACTTTGTTTTCACTTCTACCACCCCTCCAGACCCTGGTGAGAGACAGCAGCAGCTGTGCCCTGAGCTCCAGCTCTCTGCTGTGCCCACTCCTGTTAGTCAGGGGGGGACCAAATTTAGCTCCCCACCACTCAGCACTGCAGTTGCATCAAATAAAGAGAGAGTGGGAGGAGGAAAAGGAAAGGAGAACCGAGGAGGGGGGGATGTAATTTAGAAATCCCCTGCAGCTTTGTTCACCGGATGGTTTCTTTGCCCAGGGAAACATTTCAAGGTCTGTTCATCACCAAAGTCTTGTGTAAATGCCCAAATGAATGCATAGGTTGCTGTGTTGGCCCTCTGACCAGGATGAATATTATCCTTGGCTCTGTGTTCACTTGGAATGGTGCAAGGGAGATCTTTCACCTGGCATTTTAAGTGCCTGCCCTTCCAGGGGAGAATTTGGAAGGTGAGATTAGTCTTGGTGCTTGAGGCAGTAACTTGTCTTTGAATGATTCTACATCACTTACAGGAGAACTTGGTTAGTGCTTTGGGAGTCTTTCTGCTAATGAGCCAGAACCTCTCCCAGGGCCTGGAATGTTCTTCTCACACAGTGCAAGGAATGGATTCAACATTCTCCTCAGCCGAGTTTCCCATGGTGTAATTTCATTTGCCGCTGAGCTGTGATGCCACAGAGCCATCTGGTATCCACCTAATTAAATTGTTTTCAGCCTAAATCGTTACATTAAACCCCAGAGGTGCTTCAGGAGAGTGATTTCAGGCATGTCCAGGGAAGTTTGCAGTAAAATTCTGTGGGAGAACACAAGACTTGCCACGAGAGGGGCCTGAGGGTGCAGCCTGTGCTCTCCCTTAAAGGTTTTGCTTGAAAACATTCAGAACAGGTTACCATGTGTCCTGCAGGAAGCATTTCCCCTGCTGCTGCAAGTTTAACCCTCTTCCCATTGCTAAGGAACAGCCTGTGTAAATAAACACACCGAGCCACTCACAGGAAATAAAGCACAAGGGTGTCTTTCTCTCTGCAGATTGACATTTCCAAGTGCCACTACCTGGTGGACTTGGATACAGCAGCTGAGACCCCCAGGGAGCCAAGGTACTCCTCCAACAAAGAAGAGTGGGTGACCATTGCCTACAAGCCATTCCTTGACGCTTCCAGGTATGCTCTGCCCAGCTGGGGGTGAGGGCTGGCAGGGCTGGCACATCTGCTTGCAGGAGGGGCTGTGTACAGGGAGGAGAGAGGTTGGCAAATGCCAGCTTGAAATCCAGTTTCCAGCTTGCTGGCCACAGTGGAAGCTTTGTCAAACTTGTGCCTGCAATATTTATGACCTAAGTCGCTTCAGAGGGAGAAACCAGCTGAGGAAGGGTGGTGAGAAGGATTATTTTTAAAAAGAACCCTCCCAGTGCACTCCTTGCTGAAGGAGTGTTTTTTGGTTTGCTTCCCAAAGGAGTGAGGTGGGTGTCATCTCCTCCCAGCAGACCTTTGAATCTGCTGCCTTGTTTCAGCCAAACTCGAGGCAGGTATAAGTCAGTCTCAGAGGGCAGGAGCTCTCACAGGCTTCATGAAAGCTGGCAGACAGAGGAGGCAGCCAGCGAGGTCACACCTCTCTTAGGCATCAGAAAATCCCTGCCAGAGATCCCTGCTGGAATCTGTCCTTCAGTAGTTCTGCTGCTCACTGAACAACTCGCCTGTGTGTCTGAGCAGCAGTTTCTGGGAGAAGCAGAGAGAAAGAGTGATGATGATACAGCAGCTCCCAGGAGAGCTCCAGTGTTCCCAGCTTGCTGACACAAACAGGTTTCCTTGGCAAGGCCTTTCCTGTGTTTTCCAAGGGCCCTGCTGTTACATTTGTGCAGGACTTCAGGAAGGGAGAACGAAGTGGAAGGCACATTGGTGTGCTTTTAGAGCTGGTTTATCTTGCTGTTCTCCACTGAATAGCCAAGCTTTGATTGGTTGGACCTGATCTAAAGTTCTCTGAGGTCAGTCAGGTCCAGATGAGCCCTTAAGACCCCTTGGGTTAACTCCTGGGGATGTCATTTGCTGGGGGTGCTTTCGAGGTAGCTCTGCTGCAGAGGTTCTACCTTCCTAATGAAAGCCAAGTGAATTATTCTGATATGACTGGCTGTCTCACAGACTTCTCCAGGATGTCCTGGATTCTCTGTGGCTTCTTTCAGCACAGAATTCCTCATTTTTCCTGTGCTTTAGCTGATGTTTGGTAGAGAGGGAATTGGTTTGTCTCATGGGCTTTTTGGGTTATTGCACTTCCAGCCTCCACCCATAGCCTCTGAATTTTTGATTAAAGCTCACGTGGGACATACCACAAACCACTCTCTCTCTCTCCTGAACCCATTTCAGATCCCCTGAGAGGCTCAGTGCTGAGCTGAGTCCTTGTCACTCTCTTCCCAGCTTTAGTGCTGTTTCCACATAGCCACTGACATTTTCCTTCCTTCTTTCCCCCCCCCACCTTCCTTCTTAACAGGGGCATTTCCCTATTCCCAGCTAAAACCCCTGCATCCCTGGCTGGCTGGCCCTCAGGAATTTGGCTGGACACACAGGTAGATGTGGTGGTGGTGGAGCTCTGTTTCTTCCAGGGGAAACGCTGTCAGAGCACTTCCTGCCAGACAGGAGGCTCTGGAAACTCATTCCCAGTCTTGGCACTGAGAACCTGTGCAGTCATTTTGATCTGACACGCGATGTGTTGCATTTAGATCATCCAAACTCCAGCTAGATCCCCAAGCAGTGAGTTCCTTGCTGGCTGGGGATCCCTGGAAGCTGCAGCCAGACTCCAGGAGCCCACTCAGTTGTGTGTGTGGTCCTTCGTGGCTGGCTCGGGAAGGGAGGCTGCACGTGGCTGCTGCTACTGGAAGCCTTGGCTTGTTGTAGCAAAGGCATCACCTCACCACGGAGCAGCAGCTTGTTGTGGGAAGCTGGGAATCATCTCAGGGAGATCCTGGAAGTTCAGAGCTCTGAGCCCGGTAATGGTGAGATGGGAAAGGCAGAACACGGGAGGTGGGAAAGGGGAGCAGCTGCCAGATCATCTAAAGGTGAAGGGGATCGTTCTGGCTGCTCTGTCCCCCTTGGCAAAAGCTGCTGTTGCATCTATGGGAGGCTGGGACAGGAGAGGGTTTGCAGAGCAAGTCCCAGGAGGAGACGAGGAGAGCGGGCAGCCCCGTCCTCAGCCCCGCTGGTGTCACCTGCCAGCCTGCCCTGCTCCCACTCCTGGAATTCCCGGAGCTGTTCATTGTCGAGGCAGCACAGCTGGAGCAGAGGGGAGGTGTGGTACCTCCAGCAGTGGAGGAGGCCAGGTTGCCATGGCAGCAGGGCTGATTTCCATCCCTGCCTTTCCCACCTCCTGCAGCTCCAGGCTGAGCTGTGCCCCGTCACAGACCTTGGCAGGGGGGGCAGCTCCAGGGCACAGGGCTGGGAAGGACTGGAGGGCCTGGGCTTACCCAGGGGGTATCACTGACTCTGTGGGGTGAGAGAACCAGGTGTATCTCCCCAGCTTGTCTTGAGGGAGCTAGAAGGATCCCAGAGCTGGTAGATCTCTGGGGAGACCTCCCCAGGGTCAGACACACAGGTTTGTAGAGGCAGTGAAGCTGCATCATGCCCCAGAGTGCTCACATTTATTTCTGAGCATGTCCCTCCAAGCCAGCACCTGCTTCCACACCGTGGTTTGGAAATGTCTCTTGCTGCCTATGAAATAAGTGTAAAACCACTATGAAAAATGCAGCTTTGCTTTTTCTTTATAAAACTTGGGGAGGAACAGAAGTGTGACTTTGAGCTGGGCTGTGAGGGGAGCTGCCAGTGGAGATTTCAGGTTTGCAGAACAAAAAAAAAAAAAAAAAAAAAAAACCCAAACCATCAGGCACCTCCCCACCCAAACCCAAACTCCCAAACTCCAGCTCTTGTTCTTTGAAAATAAATGACCCCAACAGCTCAGTTCACTCCTGCTGAACTGGAGGCTTCTGGGACTCACTGTGAGCCTCCCATTGACGTCAGCAAGTGCAAATGTAAATCTCAGCTGGCTCTGATAAATGGTGCTGCTAATTGAATTAGAGAGCACTCCAAGCCACCAGCTAATTATGCTCCTCAGGAAGCTGCTTTGCCAAGGTCCATTTAATTCTATATTGGCTGAGCACTCCGAATCTGGCACAGGAAAGGGGAAATATATCACAGCTCCCCACTGAGGAGCACATATTTCTCCAGCTCTTTAGGCTGAACCGTCTGCTTGCTCCAAACACTTGGATTTTCCCTTAAAAAAAAAAAATTCTCAGTGCAAAGTGAATGACTGGGTCACTTCATTGGAGCATCTCATCCCCCACAGTGTGACAAGAGACTGTCTCGTTCCCCCTGTGTTATTTGAGTTGTTTTCCCTGCTTTTGTTTTACAAGGAGCAGTGAGGAATGTTTGGAATTACCTCTGAGGTGCGTGTTGGTACCGAGTGTGACACCTTGGAGGGAGTGCAGACCTTTAATGGGTCTGCAGGGAGCTTTGATCATGAGCTTCCTGGCTGGAAGGCACTGGGTCCTGCCCCTGTGGCAGAGGTTGAGCTTCCTCCTGCTATTCCCTTCAGAATCCCCAAAAACTGGACACTCAGACCCATGGAGTGCTGCTTGGGAGCTGTGTGCTGGTGAAGGCTCCACGCACTCCCAGTCTCTGGGGGGACAAATTTAGAAGCAAATGCAAATAGAACATTCTATATATTCCCTGTCATCTGTCATCCCAGCCCCTTCCATGTGCCATCTGCTGTCTGAGGTTGCTGAGCCTGACGAAGGGAGGTGACAGGAGGTAAAGGTTCCCTGTCTGAGCTGAGAGCTCTGTCATGACTCCCTGAGCTCTGGGAGCACCAGCAGCCCTGAGGGACCCAGAGCAGGGCCCTGCTCTGTGCAGTTCCAGCAGCAGGGAGAGCAGCCTTGTGCTCGTGTCCAGGCTTGGGTCTCTTTTTCAGTGAGAAAGTTGCTGCTGGACAAAGCCTGACCTAATTACAGCTGTGGAGCAGATCTGTTGGTGTCACCATTCACCAGGCTTCCATGGGCTTTCTGGGAGATGTGATTCTCAGAGCACACAAGGTGCCTCTTTTATTTTCTGTTGTGTTTTTTTTAACCTGTGTCCTTAGGCTGGGTGGTTTGAACTCATGCCAGCTGTTCATGTGTCTTTAGTCAAGAGTTCTTTTGCTGTGGCACCAATTAACACCTGGTGGGAACCCTGCACACAGCTGGATTATTCCATCATTTCACCTTGAACTCCACTTTTGGGGTCTCCTGTGGCTAAAGGAGTTTTACAGATCTCTGTTCTTGGCTTGTTTTGGGGGCAGGAGCATAGGAATGATCAGCTGTGGCCTTTATACCCCAGTTCACTGCACTGTTATTTGTCATGAGTGCCTTGGCATGGAGTGTGACATCCACTGGTGGGCAGAGCACAGATCTTCCTTTCTGCTCTGCCCTTCTCCTCATTTCCCACCCCGTTTTCCCTCAGTCATTCCTGCCTCTCCTTTTTTTAAAATTTTCTTTTTACCAGCAGTGTTTTCTCCCCCTTGTTTCACTGCTGACACAACCTGTGAAACCCTGAGCACTGGCATTTAAACCACTGCCATGAGGGGTTGAGTTGCCAGTGAAGTTAAGAGCTTGTGGAGAGCTTTTGTTGCTCAGAGTGGTTGTTTCAGGCACACTCAGGATGGTGACACTGATTCAGGAGGTGATTTCTGCCACTGCAGCTGGTGGAATATCCTTTTGTTCTGGAAAGCAGAGCTGAACCCTGCACATTCTGAACATGTGCCATGAGGACCATGTGAGCCCAGCCACGTGGGCAGCACTGGGCCTGGATTTCAAAACACCAGCAAATAAAAGATATAGGGAGTGTTTTTTCCTCAAAAGCAGCAAAGAGGAGGAAGCAGAGCCAGGATAAACACTTAGTGCTGTTGCTCCAGCAGTCAGCAAGCTGGTGCTCTACCTTATTGTGGACCAGGACCCTGCTGCTGAGCAGTCTTCAGGATCAACTTGTTGGAAAACTCTCAGCCCTTGACAGTCCCATCAGTGCTCTGCCAGTGCAAGCAGGTACCACCAGGCTTTTCCTGCATGGTCTTTCGATCCAAAGGTGCAGGAGATCCAGGAGCTGAATCACAGCAGGGCTGTCTAAGAAGCCTGGGAGCCTCCAGGGAGATGCAGCTCACAGTGGCAGTTCCTGCCATTGTCCTTTGGCCTGCGTTTTTGAAAGGTGTCCAGTGCTGCCTTACAACAAAACACAGTTCATCTCTCTCCTGGAAAAAAGGTGGCTTGAACTGAGTGTCCAGAACCTTGGCTGTGCCAGCAGCAGAGCTGTGTGGCTTTGCAGTGATCTGGGTCTCTGTGCCATCATCCCTCACCACCCAGCAGCTCAAATCTGAGTTCCTCCAGCAGGTTGATCTGAAAGGCATAAAGAGATAAGATGCAGGGCTGAGGAAGCAAAACTCTGCCCCAGCCCTGCTTTCAGCGAGCTGAGGGAATTTTTGAAGCTTTGCAAGGCTCAGGGCCATTACCTTTTGTCCTCTGCACATTTAAACCTGGGTTTTACTCTTGGGTTACCCAGGGAGAGAATACACACCCTCAGAATGTGCCCAGCCAGCACAGCTCCAGCAATTAGCAGCCAAATAAAAAGGTTCTGATTTCATGCAGCCATTAAGCCCTCCATGCTCCAGTGCTCCACTGGGCCAATTGTTGGAAGTGTTGGAATTGCTGGAGCTGGCAGGGCATGGAGTGGGAGCTGGCAGCCTGCAGCACCCTGGGCCTTGGAGCACTCCAGCCCTCCTTAATTCAATACCCTCAGCACGAGAGCAGCAGAACTCCAAAATGCCAGTGCCCAGCAAAGCTTCTGCTCCTCAGACATGTTTGGGAGGGGAGAAAGGAGATGCCTTCTTGTGGCAGGGGAGGGTCAGGTTGGATCTCAGCGAAAGGTTCTTCCCCCAGAGGGTGGTTGGCACTGAACAGGCTCCCCAGGGCAGTGGGCACAGCCCCAAGGCTGCCAGAGCTGCAGGAGGGTTTGGATGACCCTCTGGGGCACAGGGGGGGACTCTTGGGGATGGGCCTGTGCAGGGCTGAGGGTTGGACTGGGTGGCCCTTGTGGGTCCCTCCCAGCTCAGCATATCCTGTGACTGTGAAATGCAGCTTTGCACCTTCACAGAGTGCCCTGAGGAACTGGTCAGGCTGCTGCTCTTAAACCGGTGGTGATGGCACAGCCCAGCTTTGGTCCTGCCAGCAAGGGCAAAACTGGGCATTTCAGGATGATTTTCTCCTTTCTTTTCTCCAGGTCCTCGAGGCTGCTGCGAGCATTCTACATCCCCCTCCTCTCCGAGCAGTACACGTGGTATGCAAACTACACCATCCTGAAATCCAGGAGGTCCAGGCAGAGCAGGAAAAAGATGGGAGGCTAAAACACACACCTGGGCAACCCAGCCCAGCCCAGCTCTGCTCTGCCCACACACAGCATGTTGGTGAGAAGCCATTGGAAAATCCAGCAGCCACCTGTGGGTTTGTTATCCCTGCTGCTCCCTGGGTTGCACTGGAAAAGAGAAAAACGGAAAATAAAAAGGAATGACAGGACGAGGCTCTGCTCCAGGTTGCAGTCTGGCACTGGGAAAACCTCAGCTTCTTCCTTTCTCTCTCCTGCCCACCCCTCCACTGTCCCTCCTCTGCTCCAGTAGTGCTTTCGTTCATCCAGGGAGGTTTTTCAGGTAACAATGTTTAGGAATTTTCCGTTTTCTTAAAAAAAAAAAGTGGTGGAGAAGAGGAAAAACCTGCCTGACAGTGAACTGAGATGCACTGAGTCTCAAGGAATGAAGTCTTGTGCACCACAGAGAAGCAACCTGAAGTTGCTCTGTCCAGGAGACACTTTCAAGGATAAACCTGTGCTTTTGGGAGAAAAAAAAACCCTCCAAACTTAGGAACTGAGACAATTACCTATTTAATGGGATCAGAGTGTTTGTGTTATCTGTGAAACCAAGTGTTTGTTTGCTATTTATAATAATTTTTTCCAAGATACCCGTGACATCCTTTGAATTCTAGACTGCAGCATCTTACAAATTCTGGAATCCTCCAGAGAGGAGAAGGATTAATTTATATATATATATATATATATTTTTTTTTTTTTTTGCAGTCCTATTTCCCAGAATAGACAGTGTGTGTTACATGGGTCCAATGTGCTTCAGAGCAATGTTGTGCTTGTTACATCTCCCATTTTCAAACGTGCAGTGTCACAGGCTGGATGAAGGGGGTTGTTTGCACTCACATCCCTGGAATTTTTTTGGGGTGGGATGGCATGAGAGGGAGTTCTGCCCAAGCTCTGTGCCCCACTTTGCTCTTATACTGGGGGGGTGTGTGCAAGTGCCAGAGCAGGGGGATCATTTAGCAGGTTTTTTGGGGGGAGCTGTTGGGATGCAAAGAGAAAAGCAGGAGCCTCTGAGGGCACGGCTGTTGATCCCAGGTGCAAAATTCAGGGCTCATGAGCAGGGTGGGAAGGACAGGCTGGGATCCAACATGACACTGCTGGGACCAAGGAGGAGGAGCTGGATGAGGAGCAAGGCCTGGGCTCAATCATCAGAGCAGCTTCAGAAGCACAGGGAGAGGCTCTGAATGCCCTGCACTGCACTGAGGAGCTCCCCCAGCCTGCTCTGCCCCTCAGAGAAGTTCACACAAGGCTCTGCAGTGCCAGGAAATCAAACCCAGAACTCTTGCCCTGCTTGTTGCCTCTTCCCTTGCTGATCCCTGACCTTAAATCAAATGAAGGAACAAATCCCTGACCTTAAATCAAATAAAGAAAGGAGTGCAGTTGAAGGACTGGTCGCACCTCTCCCTGGTGCTGTTTGTGTGACTGTTCCATGTTGTCATGGCCCATAACCACATGTTCAATGTGAAAAGACAGTGCAGTAAATATCCATTTCAAATGACTCTGCCTGCTGCACCTTCCTTTCTAGTTGGATTCCTGTTTTGGAGGGGTGGTGGGGAACTGAGAACCTGACAATAATCAGGAGTTTTCAGTGTTTTCCAGAGGGATGCAGCCAATGTTTGGTGCAAGTCCTCGTTTTTCTGTGTGCAGGTAACGGATGTGAGGAGGACTGTGCCAAACGTTGGAGCTGCATCCCAAACAAAGCCATTTTTCCAGAAAGGGTCCAGCTCCTGTGTGTCCCCCACAGCCCAGGCTGCTCTGGCCTGCCCTGGTGTGGCATTGCTGTAGCCCTTGCCCTGCCTGGATGAGCAGAGGGGAATTCTCGGGGGTGTTTGCTGTGCCCTGGGTGGAAATGGAGAGGCTGCCAGCGAAGAGCAGGGTGGGGAGCTGAGCACTGCAATCCCTCTGCCTCAGAACATGCTGTCCAGGTGCTGCCCAGCCCTGTTCTCTCCCTTGGAACCCGGAGGAGGCTGTTTTGACCTTTCCTGTTTTCAGTCCTCCCCTCTGGCTTGGCTGGGGAAGCTGCACTTTCAACACGTGTCTGAGTCAGCAGGAAACAAATCCAGGCCCAGTGGACGTGGGGTTTGTGGTGCAGTCATCAGCAGTTGCCCACACTGCCAGGTCTGGTTTGACACCGCTGGTGGAGGCACGGTGGTGACAATCTGCAGATTGGGGTGGGTTCTGGGGACAGGTGCCTTCCCACATCCCTGACAATCCTTGGCTTCTGACCTTCCCAGTTCTGGGGGATGAGCTCTCGGGACAGGCAGGAGCCTTCCAGCAGCTTTATGCAATGCTGGCTGAATCACACAATAAACAAGCCCAAACCCTATTATTAGACTTTGGAAACTGCTGCCTTAGAGACAGGTTTGCTTATAAATATCCATTATTTTCTCCCTGGCTCTTCACTGGGGAAGCTGGCGAGGAAAAGGGATCTCTGCTCCTCCAGAATCCGCCTGCCCCTGCTGTTGTTGCTTCTTCCCACCTGAGCTCATCCTCCCTCTCTCTTCCAGCCTCCCAGGCTCTGGCTGTGGGAGTGGGACACCCTTTCCAGCGTCAAGCAGCCTCCTCTCCATCCCAAACCCACCCAGCACGGATCCCCTGCCCCAGAGCTGCTCAGACACCCTGTGTCATTGTCTGTGTAAAACTGGGGCAGGCACTGAACAGCCAGGACATGATGCTGCAGGCTTGGAGGAGGGATGGATGAGGCGGTTTTTAATGATTAAAGGAATGTTCATCTCTCTTCTAATAGGTGTTGCTGTCAGGGGTGCAGGGAGGGGCTGGTTTCTCATCCTTTCTCCAGGTGACAGACTAGAAACGTGGCCTGAGCCAGTTCCCCTGGGTACCAAGCAGAAAGTAAGAGCTCCCCATGAAGAAGGAGAGTGATGCAGGGCTGTAAATCTCTGCCTCAGGCCTTGCTGGTGAGTCCCAAGGAGTGGCAGGGGTGAAAGACAGTGTGGATATGGCATTAGGAAGAGGTGTTTTCAGCTTTCTTTTTCACAGAGACCGTGGAGGAGATGTGAGAGGACAGGAGGTGGAACCCTGTGGAGGCAGAGCCTGTGCTTGTGTGAAGAAATTACCTTGGCTGGGGCATCTGAGGGGGAGATTTGGAGGACTTGCCCTGCAGAAAATATGTTCATTTCCTCTCAGCTTCCAAAGCATTTTTGGGATCCTTCAGCTTCTCTTGCTCCCTGTCCAGCATCCTCTGCAGGCCGGTGGGCAGTGGTGGAGGTGAGGACAGTGGTTTTAAGCCCCCGTTCCTCCCTTCCAGCCCCAAGGCACCGGGTCCCTGGTGGGAATTAGCCCAGGATAACCTCCCTCCGGCTGGGAAAAGCTTCTCCAGCCGCTTCCTCGGGCTCCCGGGAGAGGGCATCGTGCTCCAGGAGAACTGGGAAGAGACGGGGTCCTTGGGGATGAGAGCCCTGGGGATGGAGGGAGGAACTGAGGCTTTTGCTGCAGGTGAGACCTTGGGTTTCAGGACTAAAACTGTGCTCCCGTGATGCTTCCCAGGAGCGGTTCCTCCTTATTTCAGCAGCTTCCCTGAAGTCCTTTTGCTGTGCTGGTCCTGCCTGTGAGGCTGTCTCAGGCTGTAATACAGATAAACTGTGTGTGTGGCTATCCCACCAGTCCCTCAGGTGCCCTGGTGCATCACAGAAAGCATCTCTGGCCTCAGTGGGTCAAGGTCAGTGAGAACTGTGCTCTCAGCCTTCTGCCACAGCAAGTCCCTTCCCATGGTTAAACCTCCCCTGCCTAATTGGGATTGTTATTTCTGGATCTCCTTTTCCCCAGAGAGAAATTATTGACAGATCATCCACGTCTGTACGGAAAACTAATGATTAATTGCTTCCTCTCCATCAGGGCTCCCTGGCCTGTGTCTTGCAGGGTTTGCTAACAAACACATTACCTCCCTGGCAGTCCCAAATGAGCAGTTGTCCTCATGTGGGAGCTTGGTGTGGAATCCAAGGCTGTGCTTGCCTTTCCCAGCAATGACAGGCCTGGAGATGGGGATCACTGCGAGGGATGAGATGCAATCCTTGCTTGCAGTTCCTGGTGATCTGTTCTGACTCGGTGTGGGTGTTTTTAGCTTGCTCCCAGGAGCCTGCAGGGCTCTGGGACCCCTTTGCCCACTGTGCAGATCACTCATCCACCACCACCTTCCCGAAATATTTGCCGTGGGACTTCCCTGCCGTGTCCTGTGAGCCCGTGGAGCCGCTGCCTTGGGAGGGCTCCTCCTCCGTGCCCTCTCCCAGGAGGAGGATGAGCTGGCTTTTTCCAGCTAACCAGTCAATATTTACTCTCCCAGGCAAGCTGTTAAAATGCTGCTCCTCTCTTGTTTTGGTGTTTGTTTCCCCTGCCTGGCTGGAATGCTGCCCCAGAGTCTCCTGTGACTCGTGGGTGTTGGGTGAAGACAAGGTTTGTGGGAGCCTTCTAGGGGCAGCCAGGTCGTGTTGGTGCTCCCTGCTCCGAGACTGTGGGGTGGGTTTCAACCCATCTGCTTCAGGAGAGGCTGGATTTTGGGAAGATAAAGGCCATGGGATCGTTTAGTCAATCCTGAGGGGAAATCTTGCTCCCAGTGAAATCCGGGGGGAAAGGTGACAAGGATGCTCTCCAGCAACAGCTTTTTTGGGAGTCCTGATGGCCATGTTGGAAAGGGCTTTTTGGGGACACAACACGAGCTGGAGCTCTGCCACTGCAGCCCTCTCTTTATTTTCAATTATTGTGACACTTAATTTCATTATTACTGCAATTTCCTATAATCCCCAAGCCTTTTTTTTCTTTTCCCCCCAGAGAGGAATTACATTTGCTGCCCTGCCTGTCCCAGTGCAGTCGCTGCTGCCTTTCTGGTTCGCTAACGAGAAGCTCCAAGATCTTCACTGGCAAATGATTTGATTTGTTAAAGTTATTTGGCTCCAGCGAGAAACTTTTCCCCTCCACTAGCAGGGGAAGGCAGCCTGGTCCTTAATTGCTTTCTGCAGCTTAGCCAAGTGAAATCCATCTTTGTGCCCTCAGAA